GCCTTGCTAGGAGAATGCTGCGGCCTCGGCTGGGCTGTCGTCACAGGGCTTGGCTCCCAGTGGCCCAGCTTCTTCTGGCCTGTAGGGCTTCAGCTGAGCTGCTTGCATGAGGTCTCCTGAGATTCTCTCTTGTTCTGCCTCTTCATACTGGTTCTGAGACTACTCAAAGCCAGGACAACTGGCTTTCCATTGATTCCAGGGTACACCCGAAAATGCTGTTTCCTTTTCCATGCCGTGCCTGGTGTTCTAGCCCTGCCACCTACGCATCGTTGCAGCAGACAGGCACTGTTAGTGCTGGTGTTCTTGAGACAGGGCGTGCAGTGGACAGTACCTCTGGGCTTCTCTGTAGGCTTGTCCCATCTGTAGCTCACTACTCTTCGGAGGCATAGCCAAGTCACTTGAGAACCAATGACACAATTCTTTCTTTGGACTTCTGATTTTTTATTTATCATAGGCGATGAAATTCCTGATAGATCACTAGAATAAAGATTTCCATGTGCAGCTCAAACTGCAAGTTTGCAGCAGCGAACAGATTCTGGCTCTTGGCATCACATACCCAGCGGAGCCCCCTTGGAGCCATGCTGGGGTGACCAGCTGTGTGTGGTCCATTGCAGAGTCCTTGGCTCTGGGGGCAAGCCCGGCATTTTCTGCTCGGCTCAGCCCCTGCCTGTGTTCCGCAGCATTCCCTGACAGACCAAGCAGGTGATCTGAGCTTTTCTGAGAAGGACCCTGCTGTTGCCTGCGGCAACCCTGGGTAGGCCTTCAGCTGGCTGGAGTTCAGTGGCAGTGCTGCGTCTGACTGACAAACATCTCCAGGCGGCAATATGATCACAAGGTGTGTGCTTCAGGGAGCACACCGGGTGTTATGTGTGCCTGTGCCCAAGCATTAAAGAACAGTATAGACAGAAGCCTGCACCCTGGAAGGGGCCGGTGCGCTGTGGCTCCGGGGTCTACCCCACTGTCACCTGGAGCATGCAAATGTATTGACTTGGGTACGGCCTTTTGTCCTCAGGGAATGGCGACATTTTCAACACTGTGAAATGTTCCTTCGGCTCCCCAGAGCCATTGGTTCCTCTAGCCCGCTCTGGATGTCCAGAGGGACTCACTGAAATTGTCCGTTGAGAAGGTGACACAGCTCATGTAGACATAGTCTCAGGATCTGAAGAACGGGAGGCAAAGCCCTTCCAGGGAGCAGGGGCCCAGGGAGTCACAGAATCACAGAATCACAGGATCCCAGCATGGCGGAGGTTGGAAGGGACCTCTGTGGGTCACCCAGCCCAACCCCCTGCCCAAGCAGGGTCACCCAGAGCAGGCTGCACAGCACCGTGTCCAGGCGGGTCTTGAATATCTCCAGAGAAGGAGACTCCACAGCCTCCCTGGGCAGCCTGGGCCAGGGCTCCGTCACCCTCAGAGGGAAGAAGTTCTTCCTCATGTTCAGACGGAACTTCCTGTGCCTCAGTTTGTGCCCATTGCCCCTTGTCCTGTCACTGGGCACCACTGAAAAGAGCTTGGCCCCATCCTCCTGACACCCACCCTTCAGATATTTATAAGCATTTATTAGGTCCCCTCTCAGCCTTCTCTTCTTCAGGCTGAACAAGCCCAGTTCCCTCAACCTCTCCTCGTAGGGGAGATGCTCCAGTCCCCTCACCATCCTTGTAGCCCTCCGCTGGACTCTCTCCAGTAGCTCTTCATCCTTCTTCAACTGGGGAGCCCAGAACTGGACACAGTACTCCAGATGAGGCCTCACCAGGGCAGTGTAGAGGGGAAGGAGAACCTCCCTCGTCCTGCTGGCCACACTCTTCTTGATGCACCCCAGGATCCCATTGGCTTTCTTGGCAGCCAGGGCACACTGCTGGCTCATAGTTAACCTGTCGTCCACCAGGACACCCAGGTCCCTCTCCGCAGAGCTGCTCTCCAGCAGGTCCACCCCAAGCCTGTACTGGTGCATGAGGTTGTTCCTCCCCAGGTGCAGGACCCTGCACTTGCCCTTGTTGAACCTCATCAGGTTCCTCTCTGCCCACCTCCCCAGCCTATCCAGGTCACGCTGAATGGCAGCACAGCCTTCCGGTGTATCTACCACACCTCCCAGTTTGGTGTCGTCAGCAAACTTGCTGAGGGTACATTCTAACTCTTCATCCAGGTCGTTGATGAAGAAGTTAAACAAGACTGGGCCCAGTACTGACCCCTGAGGGACACCACTTGTCACCAGCCTCCAACTAGACTCAGCGCCCCTGATGACAACCCTCTGAGTTCTGCCATTCAGCCAGTTCTCAATCCACTTCACCGACCACTCATCCAGCCCACACTTCCTCAGCTTCCCCAGGAGGATATCATGGGAGACTGTGTCGAAAAATGCGAAGTTAATGCGAAGTATTCTGAAAGGACTAAAAAGTAGGATTAGAATCCAAGAAGAAAAAGCCCTATTAGTGTGGGGAGACATCAGTGAATTACTAAATGTCATTTAGGTTAAAGATACAAGTAGAATCACAGAATCATAGAACCAGAATCTTAGAACAGTGTGGGCTAGAAGGGACCTTTAAAGATTATCCAGTTCAACCCCCTTGCCATCTTCAACTAGATCAGGTTGTTCAGGGCCTGGCCTTGAATGTTGCCAGGGATGGGGCATCTACTGCCTCTCTGGGAAACCTGTTCCAGTGTTTCACCACCCTCATCATAAAAAATGCCTTCTTTATATCCAGTCTAAATCTGCTGTCTTTTAGTTTAAAATCATTACCCCTTGTTCTATCGCAACAGGCCCTGATAAAAAGTCTGTCCCATCTATCTTATAAGCTTCCTTAGGTACTGAAAGGCCACAAGAAGGTCTCTCCCAAGCCTCCTCTTCTCCAGGTTGAACAGTCCCAACTCTCTCAGCCTTTCCACATAGCAGAGGTTCTCCATCCCTCGGATCATTTCTGTGGCCCTCCTGTGGACCCACTCCAACAGGTCCATGTCTTTCCTGTGCTGAGGGCTCCACCAGAGCTGGACACAGGACTCCAGGTGTGAGCACACATTGCTGGGTCATGTTGACCTCATGTCCACAAGTAAATGTGATAAATGAAGAGAACATGTTGATGACGAAGAAGTAATGAAAAACATTTTTCCAACTTGTGCAGTCCAATAAAGGTTTCTTGAAGAGATAACCATGTGGTAAATATTTATTAAAATTTAAATACTTTTAATGAGATTTTTAAAAATTGAAGTACCCTCTCTGCGTGAATTTTTTAAAGCTTATATATAATATATGAATTTTCTTTCACTCTCCAGTGAGTTCTGACTGGCCAAAGGAATCACCTCCCTGGGCAGCCTGGGCTAGGGCTCCGTCACCCTCAGAGGGAAGAAGTTCTTCCTCATGTTCAGACGGAACTTCCTGACTGTGAAAAGTCGTCCCTTTTCAAATCCCTACACACGCTGTGTGAGGAGCTGCCTTTACAGAATGGGCCAAGAAGGACAAGTGGGCTGGATGAACCAAGCCACTCGAGTGGTACACGGAAACTTGGCCAGTGGAGAGAAGTAACAGGCTTTGAATATCTCTTCCACCATGTCCTATATCTGATGTAAAGCCGCACCGGAGTGAGGGTTTCCATCGACATATCGAAGACACCAGTTGAGTTTGAGCTTAGCCAGCTGGAATAACCCCGTAGTGGTGTAGGGCCATAACAGGACACCCAAGTCTGTGGGTCTTATTCAAGGCCAGTGTTCCACTCTGGGGGCCATGGGGTTCACTGCACTCTGTACAGCAACCCGGCACCCATGGTTCTAAGCACCCAAAGCAGAGTGCCTCAAGAGCACCTCTTCTAAAGAGACAAACTAGCTTGCACGGCTTGCTTTGCTTGCTTTTGCTCTTTTTTTTTTCTGTCCAGGCCTGTCCAGTCCACTAAGATATATTAATTGTTTGAACATATGGTTCATCGTGCTTTTAATCTGATTTACTAAGAGACAAGGCCCACGTAGTCACATTGTCTTAACCTCCTGCTCTTTCGTGTCATGTCTTAAAACATTTGTAATTCTGTTTGCAAATCTCAGCTAAGTTTGACAGAGCAATAGAGCTCTTAAAGATACTAGATTCTTACAGGTGTTGTGAAAATTGGAAGCTGGATAGATTAAAAGTGGGAATTCAATATTTAGCTGGTTTTTTGGCCTACTGGCAAGCTAATCGATACCCCCATGGCGCAGAACCAGGCCCAACACACTGCCTCCTGCCCGGCAGGAAGGTGGGCAATACTGGAAGGATAAAAGGATGGCGTGGTTGGGAGGGGATGGGGACAGCATGGAGTGACTGCTGGGGAATAGTTTTGTCGGAAGTAACTCAGCGAAAAGCTGCTTTGTTTTGATGGGGAATAACAAAACTACAACTGACATCAGAGGAAGGGCCATTAGGGCAAAATCAGGAGAGTGGGTTTTTGGGTCTACCTTATTTGTGACACCTGTGAAATCACTGAACTCTTCTGTCGTTCAGTTCCTCCATCAAAACAAGGTAAAGCATTCAGAGTTCCTCATGTAGAAAGGGCTGCAGGTTGTTATTTGTGAAAGTAGTGTGGTGTTTCTGGTACTGGTCAGGGTGGGAAATGCTACAGCATGCACAAATCAAGCTAAAAGTGTTGTACCTTTTCCCTTTCTTCTTGCCTCAGAAATAAAAACAACTGAGGAAGGACTGGGCTTAGCGTCAGTGCAAGATGAGAGAAGGGTCCCATTAATCCCTGTTCAATCCAGCCCAGTGCCTCATTTCCCGAAGGCTCATTTAGAACAACAACAGTTCGTTTTCTGCAGCTTATGAAAGACACGCTTGCTCCACGCTCCCTTTTGTGCAGCTGAAAGCAGCAGGATAGCCTTGCCCTGTAGGTAACGCTGGTTTCCAGCTACCAGCCTTCCGATGGCCGTGGGGTGGGCAGCTCTCGGAAATGTTGTGTCCCGTTTTAGAACAAAGGCTGGCGTTCAGCAGCCTGCGGAGGGAAGGCGGCTTTCGGGGTGTCCCCAGCTCCCCGGGCAGCTCGGCCGGCAGAGGCCGGCTGCCTGCAGGGAGCACCGCTGGCCCCCCGCCCACCCCGCGGGGCATCCATTGCAATAAATGCGCAAAAATACACCGACAGCAGGCCTGGTGGCGTGGTGTTTGTGAAAAATTAAACTTCACCCTCGTGAAGCGCCTGCATTGCCAGCTCAGCCCTGCAGTCACCAAGGACAAAGTGAAGCCACTGTTACAGCTCTCTGGAAAAACAACTAAATGAATTATACTCAGATATTTTAATGTATGTGTCCAGTGGACTGTATGACAGGTCTCGGTTGTTGATCTTGCAGTTTGTCCCATTTAAACGTGAAGTTCATCGCAGGCTAAGGTAGAGGTCGTATTGCCACTTGAAAAGGCATCCTCTGGAGTTTTGAGCCTGTGGAGCTGTTTCACATGAGGCAGAGTATGACTCATGCTAATGAAAAGGGTAAAGAAGATTTTTTTAAAGAAATATATCGCAGTTAAATTAGTTTAGACAGCATGACATCAGAGAGTAATTAAATAGGTTTGTTGGAATTCCGTTTCCAATTCCTGAGTTCAGGTTTGTAAAAGATTTCTGAGCACCTGCAGGTCTCTGTGTGTGAAATATTTTCACTGGAAAGGATTCAAAACTTTAAAAAAACCTTTTAACACAGAGGCAGCATTACGCCATTCTTCCTTCTTGGAAAAAAAACCCCTTGGATTTAAACAGGACTCCTTCAACTTTTCAGTCAGTTTTACAGAAGAAAACGAGGTGGTAAACTTTCTCTTTTCAAGAACAAGTTCTTTATAGCTGCTAACTGAAGTCAGGGGAGATCGTATCTGAGTACATGAGCATTTCCACTATGGGACTGGATACAAGTATTGAACAACGAGATTTGAAATGTTTTAATCTCAAACGAAAACCATTTTTGCTGACTTTGGTTTTTAATTTCTTTCATGTTTTCTTCTGCCAAGCTGGAGGAACCTTTTCTGATTTTTCCTTTAGTGGCATTCAGAGGAAGACCAGAGGATGAAAATCCTGCATTTTCTCACTTTACTGCTTTGGCATTTGACTTGGCTGTCTCTGGATCTAGTTCCTGGAGCGCTGAGTAATTCTGAAGCAGGCCAGAGTAATCCAGGATCTAAACTAGGTTTTTTAAAAGCAGAAGGAAAAGAGAGGAATCCCTCAGCACGGGCAGGTACACTGAGGACTGCAAGCCATGGATATAGTACTGGGACCTCAAAGGCTAGAACTAAAAGCAGTGCCGTTCAGGCTGGAGCTCTGCTGGCCAAGAACGATGAATCAAAGAAGGTTCTCTCAAGAACAGCAGCCACGGAGGGCAAGGTAGGACATCTCCCCAGCAGACCTTCCGGAGTAAGGACAGTGACTCCAAAGGTTCAGAATCTTAGCAGCAAGGTGGCTTTGAAAAAAACTGGCACAAGCAGTACTGACACTGATTCTTTCAAAACCAAAAAGGCGAAAGAGCCTGTAACCCAGAAGGAAACTAAGGAAACTTTCAGACATCCCCCTATAACGCCACATGAATACATGCTCTCTTTGTATAGGACTCTCTCAGATGCAGAAAGAAAAGGTGTTAATGGAAGTGTAAAACTGGAGGCTGGACTTGCCAATACAATAACCAGCTTTATAGACAAAGGACAAGGTAAGAAGCTCGTGTGTGCGTGTGTGTGTGTGTGTGTGGACAGAGAGAGATGTCTGAGTGTGTTTATACACGTAGAGAGTATTAGAAAGTAATCATACTTTGTTGAAGTCAAATAGCTCTTTTTAATGTAAATGAAAACGTACAACTTTTTTCTGCAGATTTTGTCCTCCTGCGTATCGTGGAAAATTCATTTAGAGGCAGAACTAGGTGGTTGTGTGGCAGCCAAACAAAACATTTATAAAATATTTTAGACACATATTGTTGAAAAGCAATCAGTCTTTGCATGCTTAGGTGTTTAAAAACCTTTTAAAATTTTGTCTAACTTTCTTTCCATAAGTAACTCCTGCAAAGTGCTAACATTAGATTTTTTTGTAAAGTATGTCTAACAACACACGATATGCTAAGAACAGGGCTATTCCGTCAAATAACCAGTTTCAGTATCAGAGGGTCAGCTTGATTTGTTCAAGGTAGAATTGTGAGGAACTACACTGTAGACCCAGGAGTCGTTATAGCGTAGGGTGGGTGTATCTGTACTAGCTGGAAGCTCATGCTCTCAGGTTCCACCAGCCTTCTGTCTGCAGAAGCCCACAGCTAAGCACAGACTAGCGAGAGTAAATAACTTCTGGGACTCCAGCACTTGCAGTTCAACATTCTGGTTCCAAGCTTTTTTTGGAACTTTGGACTAGTGTCTGCCTTCACACGAGAAATAACCCGGCTCCCAGAGAATGATGTTCACCTTACTGCTCTGGTTGGAGAGCCCCATGTTGCTTCCAGTGACGTTAGTAAGAGTTTTGTCACATACTTAAGGAAGCAACACAGGCTACAGCTGATAAGGTAATGGTGATGGAAGGCTCAGCCGGGACTGGATTTGTTTGCCATTTCGTTATGAATAGCTTGGCTTCTTGGAAGGGATGATTCACTGCTCACAAGTGCTGCATTGAGGTTCTCAGCTCGCCACTGGAAGGCATCGCCAAAATGTTGGTTTAGCTTTATTCCTTGTTAGTGCTGCTCGTGAGCTTAACCAAGCAAACGTAGCGTCAGGTTAAAGGGAGGCATGTTTTTCTGCGCAATCTGAAAAAGCTGTGAATCATGTGGAGTTAAGTTAATAAGGCAATTATCCTTGTGTCTGGCAGTTCCTGGGGGATGTTGGTTTTAAAGGACTAATTCACTATTGTATCGTCCAAGGGTAAATTTGCTCATGTTTGGAGCCAGCATGAGGCCTGGGCACTGCTGAAGCTCTGTTTCGGTAATTTAAGTAGGACACAAGTGGTGAATAGGCCCTGTGAGTACTCAGCCTTGAAAAAGGACTATTTTTCAATTGGCTAATTGCTACTTTGAAGCTAGAAAATGCCCGCCAGTGAAAGAAATGAGATTTCTACAAGGCAAACTCAGAAACTCATTTCCCTGTTGAGTCACTGAGTTCTTGTGGGTCTCTGCACGGAGCTGATCCCTTAGACAAAAATTACTCTTTCTGTTTGGTGGCCTAATTAAGGAAACTTTTAGGCTTTGGGAAAACCATTAAGAATTGAATAACTGATATTGATCTGTGCTTGATATACATTTAAAAATGTGTGTGCTTTTTTTAGACGAGCGAGCGCCAACTATACGAAAACAAAAATACATTTTTGACATCACTGCCTTAGAAAAAGATGGTTTGCTGGGAGCAGAGCTTCGAATATTGAGGAAAAAGCCTTCTGATTCGTGGAAGTCTCATTCTTCTGGAAAAACTTCCCAAGTGAAATTATTTAGTTGCTCCACAAACAGACAAGCAGCAACACTCCTGGACTCTCGTACTGTCAGTATCACAGATACACCAAAGTGGGAAGTGTTTGACATCTGGAAACTTTTCAGGAACTTCAAAAACTTGGTTAACTTATGTTTTGAACTGGAAACTTTTGACAGGGGGAGAGCTGTTGATCTCAGGAGTGTGGGATTTAATAGAACAGGAAGACAGGTCAATGAA